TGCTTCAGGAGGAGGAGCTATTGATGAACTGCCTCGTATTGACAAGAAAGGTAACAATAAGAGAAATGAAGAGAAGAAAGGATCAATCAATTATTAAATGATAATTCTCTTGATCTTTCTCTGTTAGAGTTTGATGAGGCATTTGAAGTATTCAGTGATAAGGATGGTCACATAATCAAAGAGAACCTTCCATTATTCCTCAAGTGAATACTTTAATTGAATTAGTTTAGTTTCTAAATTTATCCATTTATCCTTATAAGGTCAATCGGTTTGGGTGGTCTAAAAATAGAAGAAGCAATAAAAAGTAATGACATCATTAGAAACTAATTGTTACTATTAATAGAACGTAATGAACTGGACAAGAGTTACCTCCAGTCAATAATAGATGAGACTTGTGATCAGTTAACCTCCACTCATGAGAACAGGGAGTGGCCCAGTCATACTGATGTACTGAGAGCGTTTGCTGTGTTTGATCAGGAGGGGCATGGTAGTATACCAGTACAACGGTTGAAGAGGTTTCTGTTACAAGCACAGCTGGGGTTTCAAGAAGAAGAACGTGAGATAAGAGAAAGAATGAGAGATTAATGTCTTCTTGTTTTGTGTAGTAGAGAAACTTGATGAGAGACACTTGTAAGATTGATAATGATAACCAGATCAGTTATAAAGGTGAGGGGGGGGGAGAGAGAGGGAAGAAGGGTTTCACAACAGGATTTTTTGTCAGTTGATTGTCAATTTACTAAAAAAATCTCCATTTTTATTACATGCATAGAAAGTTTGAATTGATTCCGATCAAAATTGGATTTTATAGGCTGGGTCATGATTGAAATCAGTCATAGTTTCAGATTATATAACATTTTTGGCTGTGTAGCATTACCAGTGAAGTCATATAATGCCATATAGGACAGATTTGGTGATGGATTGCATTGGACAAGATGGAGGAAGGGAATGTTCTTTATCACCAAGCGTTTTGATTACCGCATAGCTCCAAATTTTTGTCAGTCAAAAATTTTGTCAAAATCTTAACTTCTTGTTAAAATTAATTTTTGTCAATAAAATTTTTGTTATTAATTCGCATAAATCTACTAGACTACCCACGTGGAACAAAAATTTTGTCGGTTAAAAATTTTATCAAGCAAAAACACCTGACAAATTTGACAAATATTTTGACTGACGAAAATTTGGTGCTATAGGGTATACCATCTCAGGAAATTTTTATGATTTATACTCTAATTTTACTGGATTAGAATTTTGCAAAAAATTAGATCACCCATTATTACATGCTACATGCATTTTATGTAAAAAATATAAATCACAGCACAATTTTGAAGCACAAAAATTTTCTACCGCATAAATAACATCAGTTATATATTATCATCTACTCTTTTTACAGACTGTTCAAACTGAAGTGTTCCCTCCAGAGCTGCTGTCCATTTTTCCCTCAAGAGATTAGCAGCAAATTCTACTTGTCCCCCAACACTAGACAGAGCCTCTAGATACTTCACACAATGCTTCTCTAGGTCGGATTTAGAATCGAATAAATTCATTATAGCTAGGAAACTATAGGCTATGGCATCATAAGTTGGTGACCTCTGAACTTGCTGGGTAACAATTTTAGCTTCAAATAGTTTGTTAGCAATTTCTTTAAGAGAACTCTCCAAAATGTCTGCAAAATCAGAGTGATTCTCAATCATAACTTGTTTGATCTTTTGTTTAGCTGTTTTAATATCAAAGCCTATAATAACAATAGCTAGTTATTATGTATCAATGTATTATTATACCTCTTTCTCTTTTTACTGACTGAGTGCTGCTACCTGCACTAGCAGCACCAACTAATGTATAACCAAGATATAACATTAGCTAGATGAATAATAGACTGAGCATTACCTGCAATAGGAGTATTTCTTCGTGATACATGAATGTGTAATGTAACAGGATCAGCCACACCCACCAGTGGTACTGAGTACAGTAGTGTAGGGACAGCATCAGGTGACCCATACACTGATACCAGACAAGATGGAGGAAGAGAATAATCTTTATCACCAAAATTGTAAATATCACGTTGATACAACTGAAATAAAATGAGAAACAATGCAAGCACATGTATTATAAATTGCAAAGCCCCCAAAAAAAATTCTCAAAATGAAGCACATTAATACTGACAGTACATACTCTGCAAGGTGTTGTGTGAGGTTCAATACTCCATCCAGTAAATGGCTCATCTTGTGGAGCATTAAAATCCAATTCAACAAAACCATCAGGAGATGCAATACGGAAGTAAACATGAGGTCCTAGTTTAGCTTGTGGATGTTTTTTCTTAATAAACTGTATAAATAATGAACCAATGATAATTTATCATAGTAAAAAATTACCTCAAGAAGAGCATCTAATTTCCTAACAGCAGTGAAAGTCACCAGGTTCTCTACACCATGTTCCTCATAATAAACCAGACCAGCATATGTACATGTAGTATGTTTCTTCTGTAAATATTTTGATGATTCTATCACATTTTCCAGTAGATCATTATTTTCAGATAATTCTTGCATCAAATCACTACCTATAAATAAATGAGTAGGTTTATTCTATACTTGGTATACATGTGCAGTCTAAATCAGTCTCCCAAAACTTTAACTTTGGCTCAATCTCTCGTTTGTACATATATATAATGTAATATCTTGGGATTGAATATTTTTATTTTTTTGCAATATTGAATTAAGCCATAGTTACAAGTCCCTATATAGTTATACCTGTTCAGTTTTAAGTAGTTACAGAATTTAATTAATATGGTAACTGCAATGGAAGTGAAGAGCAGGCGTGATCGGAAAGGAAATAAATTGATGTTACGTTTTGGTGTTGGGGATAATTGGGCAAAGCCCTGATGAAGTGGCTATGTTTGTATGTGCATGTACATGTATGTCAGGGTATGGCTGCAAGGGGACAGAATCACTAATTTACATTCTTCTATATACATGTTAAAGTTAACCTTCTTTCATTGATTCCTGCTGAACAGAGAGTGCTGTACTAATGTTCTCCTGAAGTTGCCTTTGCTTCTCAGCTCCTAGTAAATAATTTCGGTTGACAATTAATGCAACAATTATAATAGCTATAACTAACGGTCGTCTTTCTGCAGTTGTTCATCAAAATCTTTTTCAGTTTCTACAAAATAATCAATAAGCTAGAAAATTGTATTTATATTAACTGCACCTTCAGTTTTAACAAAAAGCTCAGATATAATTCTATCACTGTCAGTTAGTATAGTCATAAGATCTTGACCTGTAAAGATACAAGGTATTATTGCTTATACAATACAAATAATCAAGTATACTTTTAGTTTGTATTTCTTCCTGTCTTGAGAGTATTTTTTCATTATTTGAATTTATTTCTTTCAATTTTGAGGTGAAATCTATGACCAAAAAAATGAAATTAACAAGCTGAGGATTACCATTTTCTTTTTCTGTTTTAAGTTCACTGATTTCTTCTAATAGCTGAGACATTTCCTTTGATAGCTGAGATTTTTCCTGAACAAGATCTGCAATTGTTTTGTCTTTTAAGTATATATCAGTTTTTAGTGTTTCTATGATACAATATAGCATTTCAAAATAAGAAATTATTATTACCTTCAACTGCTTTTTGCTCCTGCTGTTTAGAAATATATATATCAAGAATAGCTTTAGTTTCTTGAAGCTCAGATTTAAGTTCTACATGTAAAATGTACCTCTCATCTTGTTAGTTTCATAATAGCTAATTACCTTGTTCTTCTTTGTCATCAGGTCCTTGTTGTTTGGGTAATTCTTGTTCTTTTATCAATGCTAGCAATCTTTCTGAAAGCTCTTGCTTTTCTAAATCATTACAATCGTTAATAAAAAAGAATCCTGTGCCAGTTTTACCTTTAGCTAGTATTGACTGTTTCTTTAGTGATTCATATAACTTCTTCATTGACTCAGCAATGCCTCTATCTTTTTCTATTATTTTTCATAAATTATAGCAATAATTAATGTATAAACTTATTACCTTTTTCAAAAGTAGCTTTATGACTGGCAATAACTTCTAATACATCTTCTACATGAGTATAATTTAATAAATTAAAAAATAAAATTTAACAGTTACTTTCTAGCTGAAGTTTTCTATCAACACATAATGTAACAGGTTCAGCCACACCCACCAGTGGTACTGAGTAGTGTAGTGTAGGAACAGCATCAGGTGATCCATGTACTGATACCAGACAAGATGGAGGAAGAGGATAAGTAGCTTCATCAAATCTGTCAATGTCATCTTGATACAACTACAGAAATGAATATAATAATAATAATTTTAATGTATATAATTCAAAACTCACTCTACATGGTTCAACTAATGGTTGTACAGTCCATCCTTCACAAGAATCATCAAACAATAGTTCAATAAAACCACTGGAGGGACTGAAGGAGAAATTATAAACTTGACCAATCTCAGCTAGTGGATGATACTCCTCAATGTACTAGTAATGATGATACATTAATAAGTTATATTATTTACTTTAC